GAAGAACAACCGATTTGGTGATAGAGGAGCGGTTGTAGTAGGCGTCACTAGCACGGAAGTATGTTGATCTATTAAGTCACCTGTCTTCGCACGTACTTCGTGGCTCTTCAGGTTAGGTCGGCGCCATGTTGCTTGAATGAGGTGTCAGTATTTGTTCAACGTGACGGAAGTTTTGGGTGTGGATCGCAGGATTCCAAGAGCCGAGTGGGTCGTGACTCGTCACTCAGCATCCAAAATAATCTAGGATCACGAGCCGGCAAACGGCTTATCAGCCACTTAACCGTAAGTTCATAGATTCTTTATACGTCATTATTGACTTTTATTAAGATTTTTTGATTTATCAGTAAGGCGGCATCGATTCTATTATCGACAACGCAAATAGACCTGAGTTCTTAAATCGTCTACAGCACAGCAGCCGATTGTGCATCCTTTTACATTTGACTCCCATCTATAATAAACACCTTACACCATTTTCAAATCGAATATTTTTCTATTTGAATATTTGCTGTTCCTTTAAGTCTGTCCACTTTCTTGATTTCTAGAGATTGAACGGAGATATAGGTTACGTTTCCTCTGCTCTCTCTCTCTCTCTCTCTCTCTCTCTCTCTCTCTCACACTCTCTGTTGCATAGCTATGGATAAATATATTACTTATCTATCAATGTACCTACCTATCCACCCACGTACTTACCTACATACCTACCTACCTACCTACCAACCTACCTACGTACCTACCTACCTACCTTCTTCCTGCTATATGAATACTCGACTTGTCCATAGATATTTGTAGATAGATAAATAAATCTATCATCTATTTGTTTATATCGAGAATTGTCTTTCAAGATTACTAGGCATATCTCTAAAGTGCCCTTTAAAAATATTCTTATTACATCATTTATAGAATTTCAATCCTTTAATTGTTAAATTACCTATTTGGGACGCGTGCGTTACAAGATAATTGTTGTTAGATTGGCAATTATAATGGATTATAAGGGAGCTAAATAATAATATTTAAAGGCTCAAGTTAAACGAACGATAGATTTGTATATTGTAGCTCGATAATATCGTTGATTAATTAGTCTGTGCACTAGATAAATATTAACTTTATAACCAATGTTTTAACTTTTTACAGATAAGCTTATATTCTGATCAAGAATCAACCAAGCATCAAGATGCCAAAATTGGTGAGTACGATGTTTATGTTTAATGTTTTAATTACCCAAGTAATTCAATACCTTTTTTATATCCTAAGTCTTATCGAGTGTCTCATTGGCTCATCGGCACAAATATAAGTATATATCGCACGAATAGTTAAATTTTGTTAGTCAACGCATTGTTAGAGTGGAGAGAAACGAGTATTAAGTTTTGTCTGGCTTATTTAGTTCCACAAGATCAAAGACAGAATAACGAGAGGCATCGAGACAGAGCGAGGATAAACGTATGCCTCGCATCCTGCCAGGTTGATAATTGCTAGTGCACCAGAAGAGAATCGTAGCAAGGCACACGATGTACGATGACCGGTCCATATCTATTTAGCCAAATATAATGCTCGGTGATATTATTAAAGTACACATTGATGTAGCGTCGATTAATTAAACACTCGATCCCGTGTCTTTTGCGTGATTCTTGATTTGCGGTGGGAGCGAACTCGCGTTCAAACGTTAGTCAAAGTAAATTGCATAAGTGTTGTTGCGATTGGCAAGGCAGCTCAACCGTCAAAGTTCCTGTCCACAGTGTCATTGTCGACTGTAAACATGAATTGCACGAGGTAAGGATAGGATGTCATGACGTGGGCGACGAACGCGCCCAAGAATGCTGAAATATGGAAGAGGGAGGCGAGTTAGTGAAATTAAATGAAATGGAACGGAATGGAATGGGCGGATCGGGGCGGGAGAGTCGCGTTCGAAATTCGCTACTCGCGATTCCGACTACTAAAAGCGGCTCCAGACGAAACCCCCGTAACAAACGAACCGCCGCTCGTCGTCACGTGGCCTCGGCACTTTGTACTGGCCGTTGGAGCCTCGAATATCGAGGGGCCAAACGGGCAAGGTGGTGGTGGTGGTGGTGGTGGTGGTGGCGGCGGCGGCGGCGGCGGCGGCGGCAGCGGCAGCGGCAGCGGCGGTGGTGGTGGTGGTGGTGGTGGTGGTGGTGGTGTGGTGGTATCGATGTCGGTGGCGATGGCGGCGGTAGTGTGTGTGTCGCGAGCGGGGGGCGGGGCGAAGCCGAGGGACGCCGATCGCCGAACGCGCCACCTTGGCCGTTGTCTCGTCGTGCCGCCGCTCGGACTCATCCAGCAGTTGCCAGTTGCCGGTTTTCAGTTGCCAGTTGCTACGAGGGGCAGCCGGGAAGATCGTTAGAGAATCGAACGGCCATCGGTCGAGCGACAATTACTAGACAGCCGCTAGCGCTCGAACTTTTCGCACTCGCGACATCGCTACCGACGCTCTCAACGCAACCACAAATCTCCGGCACTTTCGAAAACTCACACCCACACACACACCCACACCCACAACACGCACACACTTTGTTCAACAACACGATGGTCTCCGGATCGAAGATGGTAAGGAATTGCCGTATTCGTCAATTTTGCCAATTTCGCCAATTTCGTGAAATTTGGCCATTCTCAGAGGTTCCGGTGCTACTTGTATTCTAAAATCGACTGCGGCCCCATTAATTCCTTTCTTTTCATATTTTCTCCTCTCTCTCTCTCTCTCTCTCTCTCTCTCTCTCTCTCTCTCTCTCTCTCTCTCTCTCTTTCTCTCTCT